GCTCTCTAGTCCACAGCATGATGGCAACTGACTGGAAGGAGAAAAAAACTTGGGAACTTCCCCCTCCAAATACGCCCCCTCTCGCCCCTCTAAACGCCCAACTCACCGCGCGGGAATTTTTTCAAATAAGCAAGTTTCTCTGGCGCACCTGTATAAAGATTTGTGATCATAATACGTAATAAACGTGGTTGATGCCGGTTAGATGGCCGAGATCGTTGAGGCGGTAGTACCAGACCAGAAGGTTGTGGGTTCGAGTCCCGCCTCGGGCATGGACATACACACTCTCTAGCTTAACTCGCAACCCATAGACATGGGTTGCACGAAAAGCTAAAGCCCTTGGTTTGACTCTTGTTTTGGCAATTTGGCAACCGCGTATGTTTTGCCATCTTTCAAGACAGTGATGCCAAGCATGTCGAGACAGAAGAGGAGGCGACCGTCAGGTCATAAGCTGCAGCAACTTTCCTGTTTCTGTGCGTTTCCCATCCAGAGCTTAAGCGGGCAGGTAGGCTGTCACACGCCGGGAGCTTTTCGCGCTGCACAGAGTGGGTGGGGTAGGGAGGTGTGAGCAGAGGCATGAGCAAGACACAAAACGTCTCTTTGGGCGATTTGTCCCAGTATGCTTAAGAAACAAAACTGTAATACTGAAGATGTGGAGGAAAGTTATGACGGTTTGTGAATTTATTAACATCAACGTAACACAAATTATTAATTAATGAAAGTCAGAGATAAATCAGAGATAAATCAGAAAGATCCCTCGAGAAACATTATCTCCAAGCACTTCATTATTTACGACACTAATAATGTATTATTATTATTATTGAATCTGATTAAGCAAATAAAAAAGCCTTAATAAAATTATCAAAAATACCAATAAAACGTAAATAAATAGTAAATTAATAATTATTGAACATAATTGATAATAATCATAAAATAGAATTTCCTTAAAATGACAAAAAGCTGGCCATCGATTAATGCTCAAAATTATCAACATTTGCCAAGAGATAGGCGTTTACTCTTTTCAGTGTAAGGGGCTGTAGCATGTTGAAGACTAACAAGGAAATAAAACGTACTTTCTCTTTCTTCTAACTAAAATTAGCCACATTATCTCACTCCGAAAACTGAGGACATGCCGTGGACAAAGGTATTTCATGCGATTCCAAATTGCCAAAACAAGAGGTGGTGTTTCAAGGAATGGGTTGCGAGTTAAGCTAATTGACCTGTATTTGTGTTTCTATGTGTGTGTCGTCCTCTCGCCCCTCATAATCATAATTTCATCTTCTATACCCTCAGGGCTCACAACCCTGGAGCGTAAATATGGACTAGGAGAAATGCTGAGTCCATTAATAATGTTCACCTACTTACACCCGGGAAAACATATGACTGGGCCTTGGTGGGTACAACTGCACGTTCGCTTAGTCTATAGAAAGGCCAATTCGCTACGAAAAAAACACGTTCAATATTTCGATATATGATTCACTGAGAACTAGTGTACTAAAACTGCACGTACTTTCTCGCCCGTATTTTCACGCAAAATTTCGCGAAAAGTATTCAATTTTTCGAAAAATTGTTCATGATCTTATTTCAAAATTTATCTTTAAGAAACAGATTTTACTAGAGGATAAAATCTCTATCTTTTGTATATTAGTTGTGGAAAGACTCCGAAAACGTTTGAACTTTTGCAATTCTCGAAAAAACAGGGTCTTCAACGAATATACGACCTGCTCCATTCTCTTAAACGTCCTTCACACTATCCAACAACAAAATTTAATAGAAAACAATGGAGCAATTTTTTTGACATGTTTGAAAATCTCTGGGGTTTCATGTAAAGTACCCCCCAGGCTTAAAATATCAATTTCAAATTCAAGAGCTCGTGTCATCAACCGGATCGGTAGGAGAATATCAACTTTGAAAATCGGTTGAACGGTTTAGCCAGTAGCGTTGTTCGCAGACGGACGGACGGACATCATGACAGACGTTTTGCCATCATTCGATATTTCGGTATCAAGGACCCACAAAAATGGATTCTGGCTTCACCATGTTTTAGAGGATTTTCCCCAAAATTTAGCAACTATTTTTATCCACTTTTTCGTCACCAGGGCCCTGTAATATGAGTTTTTCCACCGAAAATTCGCTGTTTTTTCGCGCAACATTACTTATCTTTCTCTCTATTCCGTAGCGAGAAAGTAAATATGCATCGTTGAATTAATAATTCGGACCGTTCAAATAACAATGAGGATAGTCACCTCTGTGTTCAACTAATCTAATAAATAACATTCAATAAGAATCAATTATATAATTAGCACGTGCTTCTTTTCTTGACCGCCTTGATTTATATAAAAACATGTTCTTGAGTTTTGGTCATTTTAAAAACATCATTTAAGTGGCCAACGTTTCGGTTTTTATTAAGCCTTCATCAGGGCATTTTTACTCCGGATCTCTCCAACTTATCCATCGTCCCCACACCTTTTCCTTCCCACATGTTCCTTCCTGCATCTTTCTGATTTCCATTTCGGCACGTTACTTTCATATACCACGCCACCTTGGCACTGCAATCGCCCATCCTTACAAGCCCTCTTCTTAGCCTCTCTAATTGATGAAAAGACATGTGGGAAGGAATTTGGCCCTGTTTTTGAATAATGTTCAATTTGGGGGAGTATTCCCCCTTCCCCAACCTGGATCCGCCGCGCTTTATTACGTGTGACGTGCTATGGGGAGAAGTTCATTTGAAGTTACATTTATATCCAGAAGCAAAACCAGGGCCATCTCAGCAATTACTCAAGGATCAGGGAAACGACGAAAACCTGGTCGAGATGGCGGTCATTGACCCAGACGCTGAAGCATAATACTTGTTACAGGTTCTTTAGAATTATACAATCCAAATGGTAAATACTACACTTAGTGTCGTTAAAATTGTTACTTTCCGTTTGGCTGATCGATATAATCTCTAATTGTATAGAAACAGTTGTACACCTGAAACGATTTTACTGAGGACTTGAACTTTAGTATCGAATTTAATCCTATTTTGTCATCTGGCAAAATGTAAAATAATGTACATGTATTGTATGTGAATTTTTGTAGGGAGCTGTTGATATTGTCACCTGATGATTACTACGTCAAGTGTTGTAGTTTTAGACAGCGTTTGTTGAAAATATATGCCCGCCCTTCAGTAAGTCATTTTTGGAAAGAAAAAAAAACACTGATCCATATATCAAGAGACAAGGTAGTGGTAAGATACGCAGATTAGTAAAGAGATGCTTACAAGAATCACGTGGGTAGGATTTGTTTATTATTCGTATAATTCTTTTTTCATAATCTAAAAGTCTCGGAGCTATAAGATGTATTGCCCCAGAATATTATGCCATATTTCAGACGGGAATGAACATTCGCGAAATTTACTCAACGATCAGTATGGAGGCTAACTGAATTTAAAATAATTCTGAAACCGTAGCATAAAGAACTTAATTTACTGTTCAATTCATTTAAATAGGCATTCCATTTCAGGTTTGACTGAATTGAAAGACCTAAACATTTTGTTACCTTAACATCATACAATGGCACACCGTTCATTTTCAATGGGGTACAGAGCTGTTTATTTGAAATAGAATACTGCATTGAAAACCTTTTCTTTTCATTTACTAATAATAAGTAATTACGGAACCAATTTGACATATCTGATACTGTACTATTTACGGTTTATTTATTGCAAAACATATTCGTACTTTCCTCAAAAGAGAACTGTTCTTCCGTTTCTAATTGTGGAGAGCATATCATTTACGTATAGTACGAAGAGAATAAGACCTAAAATCGATCCCTATGGTTCTCCAATGCAATTGGCTTTAATTTCAAAGTACAACTATACATACAATCAAAAAGTAGACACGTTGAACTTTGAAATAAAATTATCCGTTCTCTTTTAGTGCATGTAAAATTAATAAATATATGACATTCACCGGATTTGTCACATGAAGTTTATGGAACAATTCCTCATTCGCGGGAAAAATGATTTTTTTGGTGATGTAAGTATAACATTTTGGCAATAAAAGTGTGATTTTATATCTAGAAGCTTCAAATTGAATGATGGAACAATTGCAAGTCTAGAAGTCGTTAATAATTTGTTCTATCTTCCCAAAGTGTGTGTTGATTGCACGTCTATGGAATTGGTCATGTTTACTGTGAACCGTACTGAAGGTAGCCATGTAAGCGAATATTGCGCGTGGTGTTGTTCATAACGAAGCTCACTAAAAATTCGTACTTATTTAAAATTTGGGCGGGAAACTGTAGGCCAGTGTAATTTCCTTCAAATACTTAATTATTCACCGAAAATAATTCGATACTCAATGTAACTCGTCATAAGTTTTTTGACATTAAGATAATAATGTTAATACAACGAAATACTTTCCAGTATAACAAGAACCTTTCAAGTACTAGTGGCGCTGTGAGCTATGGAAGCGTGGCGGTGTTGGGCGTGTATGCTGTGATGTGAGTGGATGTAAGTAATGAAAACGGAATGATTGTATATGATGAAGTTCTGTAATGGGGATGTGGTAACTGAATCATAATTTGTTAATGAAAGTTAAACTCATTAAGTTATTGAAGAGTAATTAATGGAGAATATAGTGCTATGTGCCGTTTACGTAGAGCCGTTAAGTGAACAATGTATTGTTTGTTTTGTTTGAATTTGTCTCCAAATTTATACGCTACATTATTGTTTTAGCAGATGCTTTCCTTACGTGAAGGTTGAAAGATATTCAAACCATTATTAAGCCTTCAACCTTATTTTCTGGCGGTGGAATGCTGCCAACGAATTCACTGTTCAATGATAAAGGTAGCCTGTTAACCTATCAGCACAAAGGTGAGTTTTGTATATTACGAGAATTCCCCTTCTGATCATCTTCTTTACTGAAGTTATATGCTACTTGAAAAGCTTAAACGTGAAAAAGTTATGTATTTGTATACAATTTAAATTATGAGAATTGTTCAATTGTTTACTTCTAATTTGTTCATAGAATATATATAGGGAACAATGTAGTTATATTACGTTTACATTTATTCCTAAATATTTTCTTTCATTTTAATAGGTGGTACTAGTGACATTGACATCTTTGTGGAGAAACAAGTGTTTCTTGATGTAAGAGATCATAAATTAAGTGCTCATATTGAAGGCATTTTGAAGAACTTGGGTGCAGTAAGTCTGATTTCAATTTTCTCGTGATTTTTTTTTTCTAAGAACTTAGTAATGTTTTCATGCAGGTGATATTTTGCTCTTGTATATCAATATGTTGATAGTTAGCATCATGTTTTGCTTTTACTCGTTAATTTTGATTCAGTCTAATAGATAGAATAACATGTTCGGTTAGAGTTATATAAACTTAAATAAGTTCTGGCAATTTGAGAATATTTGTTTCAATTCAATTTCTGTAAATATCAAATTTATTGTTTGGTTACCATTAACCCCAAACTATATTCTGACTCTTAGTAAATAGCGTTCATAAACTGTATATACATTACGAATTTGCTGTTGGCTTGTGCATTATGAACACATTCTTGGATGTATTTTTGTTTTAATAATGATAAATCTTCACTGATCATAAAATCCATGAGATGTAGTAATAGTACTGCATAGATCACAAGTGATCCCTCTATCCTAACTGGATATACACAGCCGTAGGATGCCAGTCGTTTGTTTACTGCTCACTCGCACTCGAACTGCCTCTTCCTTTTGCTTAACATTCTTTTCTGTACTGTCTCAGTTAGTGTAGCCTTTTTATATTTGTTTTCAATATGCAGTAGGGATTCCATTAATTGAAGCCAATAACCACTTCAAATACCTAGAACCTTAATTAATAGGAACTAGGGTCAATGTTTGAACATAGTGATAAAATGTTGCTGAGGCCCTATGCTCTGAAAGGAACCAAAGGAAGTAGAAGATAAATTAGTCTTTTAGATTTTGGCAGTATTCCTGGACAGTAATTAAAATAACTCTCTAAAACAATAACATTTAATTATCAGGGCTCAGATCTCTGTGGAATTTGACAATTGACTATTTATGAAGCAGTGAGTAATAAAGAATCCTTTTAAATGTTCTGATGTGAAACTTCACCTTTTTTCTCCATATTTGTGCTTGCTAAAGGGGGTCACTTTTTAACCATTTGCTGTCTTATTGAGTTAAATCAGTTGTACTAACTCTGATGAACCACTTAAAGTTAAAAGTAATCTTCCACAAGTAATTTTAAAGACTGTGGAACATAATACAAATAAAATGTTGAAATATGCAACAGGATGCTAGTTTTCCTTATTTGTGTGAAAATGTGTATTATACTTGGAAATGTGGAAAATATGGGTAATCAAATGTGTCAAACAACTTCAAAAAGCTTAAATTCTTAAACATATGACGAAAGTTTGATTTTTAACTAATCAAGAAAACTATGTTACTTAAAAATCCTATCCCTGTTAATTATACTCGTGGACGTAAAAATCATGAATTCTGTGTTATAATTGACCTTGTTTAACGACGATGATGTGACAACTGACCTCTCTTGTTTACAACAGCCTTTTTTTTTTTTTTTTTTTTTTTTTTTTTTTTTTTTTTTTTTTTTTTTTTTTTTTTTTTTTTTTTGCAACATCTGAGGAGTTGCATAGGACAGTGAAGAGAGACTTGAGATTTCTTAAACATAGGCGCCCCATTAATATGGGGCGCCTAGTGTATTGCCTTGATATCTTGAGTGTATGCTTCAGACTAAATGTGTGAGACCCAACTGATGTAAATATTTGTTAGTTGATATTTCAGTACTTTTCTGCTTGCTTATATTCCTATATTGGTTTTGACTTCTTTTATTTTTTTTTTTATTTTTTTTTATATATAGCTGTTGTGTACAGAGCCCATTTAGCTTCGTTATTTATTTTGTTTCTGCAGATATTTATTACATCCATAATATTTTCTGGTTTTTAAAGTTAATGCATAGAAATTTTAATCTACAGATTTTATTTTTAATCAGAAATTTTAATCTATAGATTACTTTTATAAATGCAAGAATCATTTATTGCAAATTATTTCACTTTGTGTTGATGTAAATTTTTAATTATATAATGGTGCAATATAGAAAAGATATAGTTTGTATCATACATAATATTTCGTGTAACAAAGACAAATTTATGTTTGGACATCAGTAAAGTTTCAAAAAATGCTTGGAACTCAGTTTTTCCTGGTTTTACTTCCTCATTGGGACTATCACATTTCATTTTTGAGGTATCTACCAACATAACCAGTGTAATTTTGATTTGCATAGGAAACTCATGTCAGATCTTGTTTATTATTTTAGTACGAAATGCTTAAAATATCTATATTTATGTGCCCATCAAGGCTTTAGTTATCAATTAATTGTGTTTTTTATTCTGATGGATAAATGCTAGTAATTGAATGAAATAACCTGAAGTAGCTACTTAATCTCTTTAATACACATTTCTTACAAATAGTGTGATATTTTAAGAAATCGAGGAAGAAAAGTATGCATTTTAAATATTGCAAACTATTGCTTACTTATGCAAATGAACAGACTTGTATTTGATCATGAGAACTTTGTACAAGTGAATGGTGTGAGAGGAAGTAATTGAGAAGAGCATTTAATGCATATTATTTGTTTCAATACATTTTATATGCAATTAAGGAAAGTAGTATAAATTTAAATCATTTTCGTTAATGTGACATGAAAGAAACTTTAATGTCGCATGAAAGAACTAGTGTTTTTGTGTGTTAAACAAAAAAACATTCAAATTTCAAAAATAAATATTATTTTAAATTATGAATTGTTGATTTCTATTAAATGTTTTTGGAATTGAATTATTAATATTTCTATTTTAGTCTCGATGAGTATATATCATGGAATAACTCACTTGTTCATAATTCATATCATGCTTCATCATATGGAATGGCTTGCTTGTTCATTAATTAATGAAAATTAAGTGTGATCTCCCATTGGGCAGAGAAAATGGGAACATTAGTTTTGGTGATTGTTCAGTTTATCAATAAATGAATTGCAGAATAGGAAAGCAGTAAAAGTAAATAGCATATTAAGAAAATTTGGGTAGCAAATCATTGGTTAATAGTTATTTTTGCTTTTCCTCTGGTCCAGTAAGTCCATAGTAATTATTTTCCTAGCATTTGAGACATTTCCATTAATTATTGTGCATTTTTGTTCATGTTTGTTGTGGAATTCCAAGCCAATTAATTTTTCCAATATAGTAAAAAAATAGAGGGAAAAAATGTAATTAAGATCCCCATATTGGAGAGAACAATTACTTAAATTTTACTCGTAGTCATTTATGCCGGCGAAATCCACGCTCTAGCATATAGAGCGTGTTGTTTACGGCAGTTTCGGTGAATGCTATGCCTGGACGCTTCGATCTTTTAACTTTCATGGCTGATGACTTGAAGTGTGTTGGAAATGGTAGTGTGTGGATAAATTCAAATGTGACAATTTTATTTTCGTTTCATTGCTAACTTTTAAAAGATCGTCAAAGAAAATGTGTGTAAACGCCGTTTTCTCTATACGTATTAGAAATATGCAATCGTGCGAGGATTACACAAGATACATTACATTCTTTGGATGAGGTCTAGTGTGAACCATAACTAGGCGTGCTCAGTTGCAAGTGTGTGGTGCGCCTTCTAATTTATTTTGTGTGTGTACGTAAGAAGCCATGTCTGTTAAGTTTTTTATTTCTTGTAAATTTTATAATTACTTCAATTTTATTCGCGTTTCTAGCTTAGATGTATGTATTTTTTAAGTATGGCATTTTCTCTTCTGTCAAGAATTGACATTCAGTTGTTTAAAATACTTCTTGCTTCAAATTGGCGACTTGTGTTCCACAAAATTTGAAAAAACTTTCTATGTATATAGCACTAATTCTATTTGCAAGTGAAAGGAAAGCTTACTTCTGGCTACATTTGTATACACGGAATCGTAATGTTTGGAAGCAGCCATTTTCGAGTGAAACGATTGTGCTACCATCTTTTGTTTAACGGCCAAGCTATCGTGAACCATACCCAAAGCCATTTTGGGTGACAGCTCGGAAGAGCTTTATTTATGTCTATATTACACGCAGTATTTAGTTCTTATGTAAAATCTTCAATTAGATAGTTTAGTCGTGAATCAAGACATGTCTGATACTGTTCTTGTGCACCATCTTGTTGAGGTTGGCAGTGCTGTTATAGTAGGTTGCAGAGGAGGCGGGTCTGCTATGTTTACAAACTGTTAATGTTATAATATCTACGATTTCATGAGTGAAGATGTGAAGTTTTGCTAGTGTAAAGGTGTGCATTACTCATAACTAATTCTGTGTATTTTGCTCAGTGATTTACACTAATTTTGTAGTATGTTCATGATATGAAACTTTAATTACCACTTTAATGATAAGTTCACTTTTTTGCAGACTGTCCACATATTTTTTGTGGAGGACGTGAATTTGATCGTAACTGATAGAAAAGGATGGATTGCAGGATGCAGTGGTGTCGGCGAAAGCCCACGTTCTCATGTTACATACAAGTCTTCGTGGATGTTTGGCTCATGTTCTAGTGGTGCTTCTGGATTTCATTCATGGGAGAACAGAGAAGAATTACACAGTGTTAGTTGTTACATTGTTTCATATAACTATTATAACTCAGTTTTGTTGAAATATGTTATTTAATCAAAATTATTGGATCACAGTGGAATATTTGAAGTGACAATATTTTTCAGAAGTCTCGGGTGGAGGAGATGCTAAAGAGAGTGAAAGATCAACCTACTCAAGTGACTATTGATCCATTGGATATAGCTACAAAGAAAGGAATCACCATATTGCCATTGGAAGAAGTAAGATTTATTGTTGGCATGATACTTGTGAAGTGGTGACACTTTCAAGTTTGTAAAATGTTTCAGTCCTTCAAAAAACAAACTTTTTTGTGTTTGTTGTCATATGCGTTTGTGAATCACAACATCGTTTTAAATGCTATTCCTTATGTTTGTTAGGTGTTTATCACTTTTGAACATTAACTTTTCTTTCCAGGCTTGGCAGCGAATCAGAAATATTTCTAACTCGGCTGTAGCTGAGGTTAGACATTTAAAATCTCCATTCATAAAAGTGGATGTTCCACATGGGTTAGTTGTCATATTTTTTATATCTTTTATGACTACCAACTCTCTTTATATTAACATTAGGTGTAACAATGACTTCCTCATAAGCCAAAAAGAAGTGTCATGGTGTAGATAATCTGCAAACTCAGAATTTTCTGAACATATCTCTTCATATTTCAATTCTGCAGCATACACTCTTCATTCTCGACCTAATTGATATTTTGGTTTTGTTTCTAGCAATTACCAGCCAGTGCTGAAAGAATTTCAAGTAGGGTGGCCGTCTCTAAAGATAAATGGTACAGGAAGCCCATTTGTTTCTCCAAATAGTCAAGCCAAAGGTTCACATCAATCTGGAACAGCCAATGCTATTCCACTCCAACCATTTGAAAATAAGATTGGAAAAGAAAATCATAGTACATTGTTGGGTGCCAAGAGAGTGAAGTCGGATGTACAAGGCACCCTTCACTTAAACATCCATCAGGGTGCAAAGGTTTACATTTCCTCAAAAGTATCAATAGATGAAAACTTGCCTTGTGCAGTTGAAACTGAAAAAAATTATAAATGTGTGAAAAACCCATTTGATCCGAGAAATTATTTGAGAGTACGTAAGGAATCTTTGAAAAGAAGAGAACATAGTTCTGAAAAGAGTAATTTACTTAATTCCGAAGACTTTGTTGAAAAGAAGGTAGGGAATTGTTCCCAAACTCAAGAAATTTGTGAAAATTCAGGTCTTGTAAATAACACAAGAATATTAAAACACCCAGGATTCATTTTTAATACTCCCACTAATGTAGCTGTTTCAACTCCCATTGTTAAAAACACTGAGGTGTCTAGTGGATTATGTAGTCTATTAAACTCCGAACTAAATGCTTATAGAGCACAGTTATCCTCAGAATGCCACATAACTATCAAGTTAACAGATAATACTAAGTTCAGTGGTGTTATGCAAATGCCTATTAGGCCACCTAGATCTGGAAAATTGTATGTGTTTCTTCCCGAACCCAAGACGACAAGGGAAGTAGGTGAAATTCATGTATTGCTGCGGGGTGAAAATGTACCTGTACCACCAGAGAAAACCTTTCTGGCCCACAAAACTGCATTTCAAGTTTATGAATTTTGTGAACTGTTATCTCAAGGCTTCCTAGTTGTGACAGGTGGAAGCAGAGTTAATATTTATGATGATATCACAACAGATAGTTGCTTTGAAACCCTCCAGTGTTCACATGGTGTTTTCAGGAATGAAAAGTCGCTCAACCATAATGCAAGGAGTGAGGACACAAAAAGTAGAGTACCCTGTACTGGTGATGTAAACAGAAACTCTGTAGCTATAAATGTAAGTCTCAAATCTGCTGATACCTTTACTGAAAAGTGGTTAGCAGCAATATATGGCATTATAATCAAAGTTACAGTGCAGAATGATTTTAATGCTCCAGTAAATTGTGTGAATGTGAGTGTGTATGCTAAACATTGTGAGCCTTGTTTGCAAGAGTACCCAAATATTGTGGTACCTCAGTTAAATCTAGAAATTCTTGAGATTGTAATTTCATTGGTGAAGTTGGCTTGTGAAACTGGGCAACTTCTAGAGTGGTGTAAGGTAGCGGCACTAAAGAAACAAAGCAGTCATTGTGAGCTGGAGGACTCGGCTAACAATTATTTAGGTGAAACCTTGCTTTTTAAGCTGGTGTTTTCTGAACAGTGTTTTTTTGATGAAACATTGAAAACAGTGCTTCAAAATACTGTAGAGTATTCATTGTTCAATAGAAAGTTCAAGGATGACTTGATTCATCAGTGTGAATTTGATCTGCAATATCCAGTCAAAGTTTTTGATTGTGCACAGACATTCAAGAATATACACGAAGCAACATTTAAGAAACCTAAAGATCCAGTGGGTGATATCTTGGAGAAAGAAGTTTTCAAAAAGCCTGAAAAAAGAATTTCCAAAACTAGAGACACTTCAATTTTTAGTGTTCCCAGGGGAACAGCTAAGGGCTTTCATGGAGATTTGCAATGCATTTCGCCCAGCGTACGAAAGTTAGTGGAACCTGTTCATACGAAATCTAAAAAATTGAAGTTCGACAAGGATGTAAGTGTGCCGTTGGTGAAAAGATACATGTCAGACTTTATTCTAAGGAAAAAAACTCTTGAAACAAATGGGAGCTCTGTGAAAGAGATTAATACCAACAAATGGAGTGCTGTGAAGAAATGCCGTGATTTGCAGTCTACAAGGTAGTATTTTCTACAAAAGGATAGAGTAAGGGGAAAGGGGGTAAAGTGAGACACACAGAAAAATTGGTTTGATGTAAGTTAGAATTTTGAGGTTGTCACCTACACCACTAAAGTGTTTTGTGAAGTTGGTGGTTTAAAGACAAGAAATTAGAATTGCGAAAACAAATGGATTTTTATTGTTTTGTCATTTATCTCATTTGTTTGGTCTTGTGCGAGGAAAATCAGTGGAGACCTCAATCAGACCAGGCAGATGCAGTCGTTTAATTTTTGTGAAATTTAAGGGGTGATAAAATATAAATCCTACTGCTTACATTTTTGTGTAATTGGTGTATGGATTGTTGGAAAGTTTCTATTCAGTAATATTAGTTGCAAACTTTTAGTAATATATACATTGCAAACCTTTAAACAAATGGGTATGTGTGTGTCGCACATTAAAAAACAGTAATGTCTTAATGAAATGCAAATGCTTTGTCTTTGAAAATTGTTTGCAGTTTATGGAAGCTTTTAGTTGCAATGATATATTTTATTGAATATGACCCGAGTTAAATGTTTGAATTTGTGGTTTCTTTCATTGCAATGTTCCATGACATTTCTTAAATCTGATTAGAAAAAAATATTTTACTTGCAATGACTAATCTGTGTGCTTATTGTAATAGTTAATGTGTGATTGTATTATATTTTCTTATCTACATGAATTTCCTCTGAACAGACTACCATGAGATTTGTCAAGTGATTTTATGGACTTTGTTTTACAGTGTGCCTCATAAGAAAAGGCCATCACACAAGTCAGTGAAGCCACTCGGTAATATTCCAGGTTATTGTGAAATATGCAGCTGTGATTATACTTCCTTGGCAAAACATGAAGCGGAAAGTTCACATCGCAATTTCTTTCTGAAGACTGACAACTTTGATGAATTGGATCAATACATATCAGAGGTCAACAGTGAATCAGCATCGGTTTTAAAGAAGTTTTGGGGTATGCATTTATTTTTTCTTCTTTTGTAGAAAATTTCATTGTTTGGTTGAATTAAAAAAATGAGGGAAATTCATTTTCAGAAATGTTTTCCTTCTGTAGTTTCAGATCATTAAGAACATCGGAAAATGGTGCGTCATACTTTTAGGTAAGTAGGCCTATATTCGAAGATTTTTCAATTTTTGTAATGTTTTTGTTTATTTTAGTCCCATTCAGTAAAGTGTGTTCTTATTTGAGAAGACCCATTTTTTTTGCCATAAAATTCAAGTTTTTTAGATTGGACGTTCTCACGTGTTTAGAATAATTACTTTTGTTTTTAATTTCTTTAGCACAAAAGCGATTCTCTCTGGATAGTGTTTCTCATTGAAACTGCTTTAAATATATTCAGTATTTTGTGAAAGTGTCATGTTATTATTCAGATAACCAGTAAATTGCAAGGAAAAAGTTTCTTGATTGTGTGTCCTTCAGTCTCCGGGAACATGATTTTCTTTGAATTCAAATTCAGGATTAGGATAGTTGTTGTTTTCAAGACATCAGAGAAAGGGGTGTAGTACCATCAGATGTGAGTAATTGAATTTTACAATGATTTATTTTGGCATTACTTCACTTTCACCTCAATTGTCATTGGTTTCTGTAAAAATAATTAATTGTTGTTGAGTTCAGAACTTGGATCATTGGGCCAGCTCTTCTGCCTGATCGCTCTTCAATGGAGTGACATTACACTGTTTAAAAAAGAACACATTTTTGTATGATTACATTTTTATTAATTTGCTTCTTTGCATAAAAATGGGTTGTTTTTTGTTTTTCTCTCCCTCCCCATCCCAAAATTTTCTGTTGAATACATTTAGAAAACAATTTTTGTTGTAGTTCGGGAGTGTTCTTTGGGCCTAATCGACGTTCCCTTCGCAGTGATAAGGCAACTTACGTCTCAGGTACTCAAATGAACTCAGACTCTAACAATTGGAAGAATTCACTCCCATCTGCACGAAGAGCATCACTTCCCCCTTTCTCAAATGGTCATCATTTGAGGTCTGGTAAATTACTGGAGAAAGCTACCAAAACTACGGGTCAGAATGATTCTATGGAGGTAAGAGTGGCAACATTATTTATATTGTGTTAAATATGAAGTGTCGGTGGTGGATATGGTTTGAATAGTATGATGTATATTTTTTATTTTATCAATAGTGGCTGGGGAAAATCATTTAAAATGTGTTAATGTGCTTTCATGTGTTATGATAGCTGAATATGTTGGTCTGCACATAATGAAAACAAGATTCCGTACTTGCTGTCTATTGTGTGGTATATTTTGAATACATACTTGTGATCACATTATTCAAAGATTATGTGTATGCCGTGCATCAATTGCCCAGTCAACAATGGAATCAGGTAGTTTTTGAAGTAGTGAGAATACTTGGGAAAATAATTCATCTTTTTATTCACTAAAAGGAAATTACTTATCTAGTCTTTACAAATTACTAAATAATCTGGAAGTTCCATGGTTCTATATAAGATCACCTTTGTTTCATTTCTTATCTTCAAATGATCTAGTGGTGGTGTTGGGATCAGGTACTTAAACCATTCAGTTTCCTAACTGGAAAGTACAGTTCCACTAATGTGGGACCAATAAGCTCTCTCAATGATTTTAGTGCGTAATATTAATTTTGTTTTGACTTTCAAATTTCATTATGTGGAAATCTAATGTTGTGTTATTTCCCAGCAGGTGCAGTGCAATGGTGTAAATCCTTCCCATTGTTATGACACCAGATATGGTAGTCGAAATGCTGAACAACATAATCAGAAATTTTCACCGAGGAAGACCAATCATTGGGATGGTCCATTAGGAGGGAAACCAAAACGTACTCGAACAACTTCAGCATCATTTCTAAACTTATCAGAAACTGATCAACTGTCTCGTACTGTTAGTGATTTAGGCCCTAAACTAAGATCCCGTCATGTGTGGTTTCCAAATAACCTAATTGCGCTATCATCTGATGTTGATGATGGTTCTAAACATTCTTGTACTACACAGTATGAAGCTTTGCCCCTAGGAAAAGGTGTTCAAGATTACAAAGATGATTTTAATACCACTTTAACTGGCAGTGATTTAAATATTAAAGAAGATAAAGTGTATAAACATTCTGATCCTAAACACTGTCATCAGATGGTAAAAAGGAAACGTCTTACAGCTGAAGAAAAGTTAATAGAAGATAATAAAGCTTATTATAAATTAGAAGTTAAAAACAGTAAACTGCGCTCAAGTGGTTATTACATACATCAAAGAGAAAGCAGTGCCTCTGTTGTGGATAAAGAACCAAAAGTAACTGAACTTGAAATACCTAAAGAGACAGTTGTCACGTGTAATGGTGATCAGACTGAGTGTGCGAGTGTTAAAGATATTGGTAATGAGAAGTCATGTTCTGTTGTAGAAGTTAAGAGAAATAAAATAAGACTATCAGAGCTTTCCCTATTGAACAATGAAGCAGAAAATTTTATGTTTGGTGAACTCACTAAGAATAATGAATATAGTAGTGATGATAGTGATTATGAAGATAACAAGAATAATCTTGGGAATAATAGTATATGTTGTGAAGATTCTGTTGGTGAGGATTCAAAGAATAATAATGGTGATGATTTATTAATTAATAAATGTAAAAGTTTAAGTGAATTAAAAATAGGGAACAAAGAAAAAAACCTAAATTACAGTAATAAAGAAACTTCTCTGAACATTAGTCAGAAATTTGACCACTGCTCTCAAAACAATATACCACAATTTGATTGTGAAGTATCATTTCAACAAAAAGGTGAGAAACATTTTCTTAATGATTCAGAATATGAAGAAAATATGCTTGAATACTGTTCATTAACTAATAGTGAATGCAACAGTGTGGATAATTTTCAGAGAAGACACAGAAAAAGAGCTCTTTCTGAGTCTCACGTTCATGGTAATGTAGCCTCTTACAAAAGTGAAGTGTCCGATGTTCAGTCTTATATCCATGTTCGTGCTTCACCTCATATGTCTGTGAAAATGCAAAACAAATTGGAAAATGAAAATGGGAATGATGGTGTAGTGAGGACAAATAGTTACAGTAGCCCGTGTACATCTGAAAATATAAATGCAAGTTTGCAATCTTCCAATTGTGATAAGTTGGAACTTAAGCCTTCCTGTCTGCCAAAAGTTGGAAGTGAAGACAAAGATGACAAAATGAAACCTAGTGATAAATACCCAAATGTTAAAAATGAAGCTGTTACAGGTCTTTATTTTTCTTTTGAAGGTATACCAGAGAGTGAACCATGGTTTCAAACATACCAACGTCAGGATGAAGGAGAAGAGTTTTATTTGTCTACTGTTCATGATTGTACTTACTGGAAATCATTTCTCTTGCCATATGAGATGCCACCAGAACATTTTAATACTTTGAGTAATAATGTAGGTGTTCCAAAAACCACGAAAGTAACAACTATTAAGAGGCGTAAGAGGAAAAACAATGCAAATTTATTGGATAAAAAACCTAGAAAATCTCCTCGTTGTCATGCATCTACTCTTGCAATTTTGTCAAGCTTGATGCATCATAGGAAGAGGAGAGAGAGTGAAAAGCTCAGTGATGATAATTTACCAAGAAATGCTGAAGAAGATCCTACAAACTCCCCTCTAGCAAGCAATGCAAATTCAAACCAACAGAGAGGAATAAATGACCTTGCTCAGAATGCAGATCAGTTACTTGGTTTGTATTCAGAGATTGGTGTGTCATCTGAAAGTCATGCTGTTTCTACTGCTGATGCAAGTGAAGAAGTGAATCATGGAAGAAGTCACAAAATAAAGGGATTGAAATATAAAAGACCTCATAAGTCTATACATACTGGTAGCACTAAAAAAAGTGAAACAGATATCAATATGAAATCTCATGATGTTATTGATGTAGATCCTGTAGTATTGGAGGAATTAGCTGTCAGTGGTGAAAATTCCTTTAGTTGTGTGGATGATCTCAGTATACGAAATAGAGGGGGACCATATATGGATGTTATATCATTATTAAATGGTTATGGCAATTGCTGTTGTGTAGAGGGATTAATGAAAAGTAGGGATATGTCACGATATGATGATGTGCATCCTTCAAGAGAGACTTGTAATAGTTCAGAATGTGCATCTTCCACTGGTGAAACTGCACATTATTCAGATATGATTAGGGTAAGAGGAAAGAAAAGAAAGAGGAAGAAAAACATGACTGGATGGCCAGTTGAAAAACAAAAACTTAAGAGAAGGTTATTGTTAAAGTTAGCAAGGCCAGAATTGCAAGCAACAGTTTCAGAAGTGAAAGAAAAAGATGAAAGATTGGTGATGAATGAAGAAAGTATTTCTACATCAGGGCCCAATGATAGTAAGTGTTTGCCATGTGTAGAGGTACAGGGTGTTAATGATGAACTTGCAAAGCAATCAGAAACCAGTGGTACTATTGATAGGAGTAGAAATAGTATTAATGAAGTTGCTTCTGAAAACACATGCAAAAAGACTATTAATTCTAGGTGCATAGATGTTGATACTGGTTCAGAAATGAAGGCTTCAGTCAGTGAACAGATAGATCATGGTGAAACATCAACAGTGGCTACACCTACTAGAACTGCAGATAAATTATGCATGACAAGAACTGCAAGTGTTGATTCCAATAGCCAACATTGTGACTTTCAGCCTAGAGTTAGAGTAAAGAAAATGAACAGTGTTGATGATTTAAATTTTGTTTTAAAAAATTCAGGCAGTGCATCATCAGTTAATACTAGGCAATTGCGTAGTGCATCTTTTTCATCAAGTGTTACTTTAAGAAAAAATTCATTTCATTACGATAGTGTAGATACAATGGAAGTTGTGCGACGTGCATCAGGTCGAATGAAGAAATCCTGCAGTAGATGGGATTCATGGTCAACCAGAAGGCGAAGGTGATCTTTTACTAGACATAATTATACCGTTGTTCAGTTTTGCATAACCAGTGGAACCTGTTTAAGAGGTAGACTCATACTCTTCAGTACTCTTTTTTTTTTTTCATACACTACTTGGAAAATATGGGATGTTAAATTTATTCAGAATGGGGCATCACATTTTACAAGACTAAAGATACGGCCATTACTTTGGACAATTTTCTTTTAACATCCTGCAGATAAAATGAGTTAATTTTGATTGATTTTTAAATTAAAAATGATTTACTCACTATTGAAATTCTGATTTTTTTCTTGTTGCAAATAGCACATATTTCCTATTGTTATTTGCAAACCCTAAACAGTATCTTAACTATTGTGCTTGCCAATACATTGGCAGTCAACCCTACTGAGTATTTATATTCAGCTGCTCTTGTTCACATTTGTAACAGTATAGATTATGTTCTACCTAACTTCTTTGTGCTTGTTATTTGATGAATGGATGATGGCGTTGACATTTTCTTAGTGACATGCAAAGCAGCTTGTCTAATGACCAAATCGCAGAGCATTGTACCAGCTGAATGCTTCTGCAAACATCAAAATTTCACCTCCTTTAAAGTATGCAGACAATATAGGTATCACACTCAAAAAATATTAAAAGTATTAGACTGAGATATAGTATTCACTTCAGATTACAAAAGATCATGCAGCATGCATATGTCAAGGTAGTAAAATGCAGCGATGCCTATACAAAGGTCCAACTGTCCAGCACAAAGAAGAATGGTACAACCAGAGATATTTTCTCCAAGTCTGTAGCAGTTACGTCTCTGTGGTTTGTTTTAGAGTGCAATAAGAAAACTAATGATGCTGGACATTTCAGAATAAAACAAATCCTTTGAGATTTCTTTTGTAGACTTCTCTTCCACCCACCTACCCACCACCCTCCGCTTTTGTGAAAGACCTATGTGTAAACAATAAAGTTGGGTAATTTTCTTTAAAACATCCTGCAACAGCACTGTTTAGGGGGTTGTTAAGAGTTATATTAATGTAGTGAAATTGTTCTAATCGAGCAAAATCCAAGGTTTTCTGATATTTTTAATCTGGACCATGTCAACTTCTAATGACTAATGCTTCAATGTTTTTGTGGTTAGAGGTATTCGTGGCCTGGTCGTATTGCAAGTGTTAGTATTGTGATTGATTTAATTTATTTAAATTTTTCTTTTTTTATGAATGTGTGGGTTTTTTTTTTTGCGGTTACCATGTGATTAGTACCAGACAGTTTGTAGTTATTAATCTCTGGAACTTCGGGTTTTTATCATAATGTTTGAACCTTCTTTATAACTTCTACAACAATTTAATTCTGTGTTTTTAATTTTTTCGGAGATAATAAATCTTATTAATGCTAAACAATTTATTTCCCATGAACTCTTTTGTGACCCATGTAATATTTGACATTGCTTAACAAAAGTTTGTAGAGACGTTTTCATTAGGCATTTAGGATTTATTTTATTGTTTCTTTTTTACTCCTAATTACTTAAGAATAATATTGTGAAATTATGAAATATTTATGGAAGACTTGGATATTATGGATGTTAGAAAGAAATCGTTTTTAACTATTTCTGTATCTATTTTTTTTCTTTTGTGTTATAAATGTAATTTTGAATTAAAAAGAATTTGTTTGCTACACAATTCTTAGATAATTATTTACACAATCATAAAACAAGCACTCGTGTAATGCAGTATATGATGTATAATGAAATGAAAAAATGAATTATTCGTTGCCAATTATTTGGTTTGTTTTCTTGAATTGCTTCTCAGAATAAGTATTGCTCTGAAAATTTATTTTATGATTTACCAAGAAGCAATCCTGAACGTGAATATATCAGTCAGTTTCCGCACCCATATATGCATTGATCCATGAATAGGAACAAGATGCACATTGTCTCTGCTGACCTGTTACGCATAATTTTCTTTCTTTTATATATTGCTGCTACATATATTCTATTAGAATAGACAAAACAAACAAAAAGTGCAGTAAATTTGGTCCTTTTTTATTTCTTCTGAAAATATATATAAATATATATTAAAAATATGTTATATTATTTAATGTGATTAAATTGTAAATTTTTTAGTGTATTTCTAATGTTTCAACATTTTAATACCGATTTATTCATATTTTTTCAAAGAATTCAGCTTCCCTATACATTTTGTACGGAGTTGTACACCACTGTGTTGAATTTTATAATTAATTCATGATAACCAATTTACAGTAGTAGTAGTAGTAGTAGTAGTAGTAGTAGTAGTAGTAGTAGTAGTAGTAGTAGTACATTTCCAAAGTCTTTGGTAGAGAAAGCTAATCTAATGTTCTTTAAGTGTTATTTTTTCAATAATTTGAGAGTATTAAAAAATGTTTAAAAGCACATTGTAGAAGTGGACTTTGTTATTCCATTTCAGTATTTAATTTTGTCAGTTTGTCTTCACACCATTATTTCAGTTGTTCATGTTATCTAGATCAATTTGTTTTCATTTCTGTGTCATTTTCCTAATAGGGCAATTTTCCATTAGTTTTCAAGTTGGTGAGCAAAGAATCTATCTCTCTATGTTAGTTTGCAAGTTAATTGAAAAAAAACTAATATATTTATGAATGTGTATGAAGTATTTCACAATTGATACAAATGGAATGCATCTTAATTCAACTTGTTTAAGAAATCTGCCAGCGGGTATTTAATATTAGAGTATTTTCAAATGATTGTTAATGAGTACTTGTAAGTATTATTGACAGTTTAGGCAAATTTGAATAGATTTTTCTTTTAAAGAAGTACAAAATTACAAATTGTGTGAAATTATTTGTTTTGCGTTATGAATTCTACAGGTAGAGAAATTGCAGAAATTAGTGTAGATAATAAAAATTTTTGGTAGCCATGCATATTTAAAATAACTATTTCTTCTATTATTTTTGTTGTTCATAAGGAAAGTCTTTTTCAATTTTTCTTTCAATGAAAATCTGCTGTCAATTGGCCCCAGTCTCAAGAGGCACCTGCTGAAGATGTAAGGGCTTGCTGACCCTGGGCAGACTCTCCTTAAAACTTTTCAGTACTGTAATATTTTTTCTTCATTTTAGACTTAAAATTACAAGAAACTTACAATATTATGACATTCATATCGATTTGTTTGTGGAGTGTTTATTAATGGATTAGTCTCGTGTTGAGTACTTTACAGTCAAGTTTGTTTTTCTACTACTCTAAGAGATAAATTAGTGTAAAGACTATATTAATTTGTTTTATTACCAGAGGGAGATAACTTAATTTTAAAATAAACCTATTTTCCAGCAAAATGTTATCACCTCCTATGCTTTAAAGGCGAATAAATTTCGATCTGTCATTTTGTTTCCAAATACAATTATTGTCATTGAGTGGCCGGAGTGTGTGCATAATATGATTTAATGTGATAACTTCTGTTTGTAATGTGCAAAAATATCAGAGAAATTTAATTTTCAATAGCAAAACATTTTGGGGGAAATACATTTCATGTGATTTTATTGTATTGTGTACCGTTGTTTTTCATTGCTTTAATCTTCCTCTATTTTCAAACTACATTTTCCTGATTTTGCTTATCAATCTAAAAATCCCTTGTAATTTTTCAGTTATGAGTTAAAGATTTTCATATCATTTATATTACTTCATCTACAAATACTTCAAAACAGCAAAATATTGAATCTGATCGCGTACAATGTGCATGCAAATTTCAAATTTATAGTATTTATGCATTTGGTTTCATGAAGATTTATTTCTTTTAGTGCTTAACAAGTAATATTGAGGCAATGTTACTTGCAGTAACAAATACAATTTCAAGGTTCATGCACTCCAAAATCACTTTGATTTCTTTGTTATATAGTGAGCTTTGTCATTAAAACTTAGTATGTATTAGAATCATGTTAAATTTTCAAATCCTTACTGTGGTGGCTATATCAAATTTCTACTTCTTAGTTAAAAAATCTCTGTGTCAAACTATCAAATGCCTCTAATTTAAAGAATTGTAAACTGAAAAATGTACACAAGTTGTTATCTAGTGGAACATTAGTTATTCCAACTTTAACACCTTTCAAACAATACAAGAAATGATGACAAAATTTTTGCTTGTTTGAAATTATTAGCCATTTTAATATATAGAAACACTTCCAGGAAAATCCTTGAATTTGTTTATACTTAGATTTCTGAATTAGTACTTCTTCAGTATAACAGTAGCAAGTTCTGAATATTAAGGTCATGAATAGTTCGTGAAAATATGAGAAAGTGGCATTGTGTGTATTATGTCATATGCGCTTATAAAATTCAGATGTCTTTTTTTCTACTTCGTCCATTAGTCTGGTATTTCTTAAAATACTCGTTTAGAATTTAGGTATGTAATACAATACTATAACCACACTTTCGTATTCTAAAGTTTTGGGGAGACCTTGCTCTGGGAACTTAATGTGGCTGAAGAACAATCAAAAGTCTGCAGTAGCTGGAACAGGGAGGTATCAGAAAATGAAAAAATAATTTTTTTCAAGAAATTTTCTTCCAAGTATCCAGTTAATTATGCGCATTATTTATGAAACATTTGTACAAGCAGGTATCCTACTACTGTGACAGTAATGTGGTAAATTGAGGTTTTGTATTAAAGTTAATCTGATCCTAGTCTTTGTTAGATCCAGTATGATTTAAAAAATATTAATTCACAAGTAATACTTCCACTTCACTTTTTGTCTTAATGTTTCCTGTCCATTTTAGACTACAATTTATCTCCAAGACTGATTTCGGTGCATTTGACTGCAATGCCTAGTGTTTTGTGACAATTTTTTCCAATGTGATCTTAATGTTCTTGGTTTCTGTTCTCTTGTTCTACATTGTTTCATTCTGCTGCTTTTCATCATGACTTGAGATAAGCTGGTCATCCCATGTATCACGATGTCAGGCAAAGTTACAATTGTCTTTTTATTAGATTATTAAATCCTTAGCCTGTTTTTTTTTTTCTCTACACGTTTTGAGATAGGTAGCCCTTTCCGACTGTGTTCTTGTTCTTTGTTTTATTATTTTGATTTACAAAAGAGAGCATGCTCTTTAAAAGAGCTTCAGAGAATATTAATTTTATATGAACAATTTTTACTCCTGCCTTAAGTAAATAAGGAATTAATTTACAATTTGAACCCATATGTATGTTCTGACAGGATGTTCATATGCTTATAAATGCTACAGACTGTTATTTCTGTCTCTAAATAACCAAAGCAAAAATGACTATAGTCTTTTGTAATAATATGGGAGGAAATTAGAGGAAGCAGGTGGAGAAGCATGCTATTTAATAGGGGATTAAGATATCAGAAGTTCTATAACATTATTTAATGGTTTAGCATGCTTATATTCTTGTCTCTACCAAACCACCTTAAGTAGGTTCCACTGTATGTAATGTTGCTTTTATATTGGTAATTTGTTCATCTGCAATACAAGGTGTGTTGAAATCTTGGGAAGATAGTAAATATTGTGCAAAATAATTATTTTATTACTGTTATAATATGTTCTGAAGTTCAAAACATAAATGGAATGTATTAGTTGCATTTCCCTTATGTTTCCTTTTTATTTTTAATTTAGTAAAGGTGTATCAGTACCTGTTTTAAACTGTATATTAAATTGAAGCTGCTGTTTATATTTTTTAGGGATGTATACATTTCAAGTTTGTGTGATTGTAACTACCCAATGTAATATGAGCTGATGTGAAAGACTTTCTATTTTTAATATGACTAGTCTAAATGTTCAATAATATGTGGGAGATATATTTTTTGTTATGGAAAATTGACATTTTCCAAACATATTTTGGTGTTTATTTAGTCTTAAATTGTTCTCAACTGAAGAAATGTTCACATTCTATAAATATTCTTTATTTGGTACTTAGATGAAGGTTTTGTATCTTCAATGTAAGGGTAGGATTAATTTATACATGTGTGTTCTTCAGACTTACCGAATGTTTACAATGCTGTATGCAGTTTCCAAGGAAAATTATTTAGTTGACTTTCAAACAGTATTTTACATGTAATTTTGTACTCTGTTGTAGAACTATGTCTATATTCAGATTCTTTTGAGATAGAAAATTTTCTTGTTAGGTAAAGTTAAGATTTTATACATTAATAAGTTTAAATTAAAATATGTGGTAAGATCTGAATATTATTATTATTATTATTATTATTATTATTATTATTTTTAATATAATTTCAATATTGCGTGAGAGTTGAATGGAATGAAAGCTGGCATTCCCATTCTCATTAATAGATGCCAATGTAATTATCAGGTAAAAGAATAAGCATCTTAAGTTAAAACTTTGTAATAAGCAGTTATGTTTGTGGTAGAGAATTTGTTTCCTTCATATTTTATTGAATCCAAATACTGGGGTTATTCCCACTAATTTTAATTTATTGAAAGTTGTAGTCATAAATGTAGGGTTGTTTTCTGTTTGTTTTGTTTCATATAATTAAGATTGTCATTTTAATTGTATCAGCCACTCTCGGAAGTCTTCACATAGGATTGTATTTATCTCAGCTACAAGTGAATAAAGATCAAATATTTGAAGGAACCACTTATTTCTGTATGTCAATTTCTTATTCTATCTGTGAGTAAATTTTTCATTTCTTTTTGTATTGTAAATTTTTCATTGTTTTTGTGGTTGCTTTCTTTTTAGAACTTCCAAATTTGAATGCTAATGCAATTATTTGTGGGGATTTCTAACTATATTAATCACGTTTTAGTGAAATCTTGTGGCTGACAAAGACATATTCAAGTATTTTTGCTTTAAATATTTATATTTTGTTTTATTAAATTCTCATCAATTCCAAAAGTCAAGTTCCCATTCCATTACAAGGGATAGGTCATTGTTTGCAGTTTGTTTCACAATTGCAGAAGTATGTTGATATTTGTTGCCATAATTTTAAGCGAATTAAATATGTTAATGCCTTTTAATGGAAAATTGCAATACTGCTAATTGTCACCACTGACATGTAAATGTATGAAGAATATATGTACAAAAATCATTTTCTTGTATCTTATTTTTATATGTAAAATTCATGGTATCATAATAAATACAATGTAATGTTTTTGACTGATGTCAAAGTTTTGTTTATTAATCAAGATTATACATTTTTATTATGTCTACTGGGATTAAATAATAGTGTAATTCACTGTAGGATAAGAAGTAAAGGCATTTCAGTTGACAATCATCACAGTTGTAATCTCTAAAGGAAATCAAATAATTTGTTGAGCCATAAAAATGCTTTGAATATTAATATTCTACATTTCTTTGTAGAGATATTTTATATATTGAATGTACCGGATTATTCAGATGTAATCTAGCTTTTATGTAAATTTCATAAGTAAACCCACAAAAATTTATATTTCAAGATCGCTAACAGTTGAAGAGAATTCTCAAGACATGTTCATATGGATTGTAAAAATATTCAAATTACTGAGGACCTCATATCTTTCCTGAACGTAAGAAAGATTCTTGTTTGAATATGATTTCTTTCTAGTGTTTTTGAGAGATTTCCATAATTATTAGGTTTACTATTATTTGGTATCAATTGAAGCATAGGGTGCAATGGTATTGCCCCTTACGTCATAAAACAGCAGTACCTTGATTATGGCATCGAACTTACAATCCCTTATTTCATGTAAAGCATATTCTACCATTTCAATGCCTCTTGGGTTGATGCCCTGTGGCAAATTTTCACTTCTCTTTTGTAATATGCTGGGATATGTATGTGGTTGTATGAGTTTTAACCTAATTGTAGAATAATTTCACATATGTGTTTTAAAATATATCTTCAATATTGTAAGAGCTAATAAAAATCTACTTTTGCTCATTCGAGTATACTCCGAGGGTACATTTGCTCTAAAATCCCAGGGATAAAATCATAATTTTGGTTGCTGTGGGTGAACTTTCGAACAGGGACTCAGACCTCATCTACATTTTGAGCGCCAATATTTTAAACTTGACATGTTGTCACATGTTAGACTATCCTGAATAATAATTTTATTAAATTACCTACATGAAAGTTGAACCAATTTTGTTGTGAAGCTTTCTTAACATTCAGACAATGGAATGGATGCTGAGAAATGGTAATGGGCTGTTCAGTAAATGAACAAAAAATATAAAGAGAACTCTTTAAGGTTTATAAATTACGCTATTAGTTTTCAAAAATATTTTATCTTGCAGATTGATTCAAATGAAAACTACAAAAGGTTGTTGTTTTTTTTAATTTTACTCTTACATTGAATCAAAATGTGATTGTTTAGAAAAATTGGTTATGTGAGTTTATTGCTTTGTGCAATAGAATTTTCTCATAGCATGGATCCTACACTGAAACAGGAACTTCAAGATCAGGACCAAAGTACAGGAGAGGTGAGAATATTTTCCAATATAGCTACTGAAATGCTTTCATCGACTGTAATTTTTTAAAATTAAAACTTGCATTAAATGTTAATTAGTCTGTGTGGTAGTGAAAGTTGCAGATTGAATCCATTTAACTTGTGAATTATTTATGCTGCTTGTAATAAGGCTGACTGATGCCAGTAATGAAGCTATCTCGTACATTTATAAATATTTAATCTGTTTTACTATTTACCTGTCAGGCAGCAGCAGAGGAACCGCAGTGGTATTTAAAATGAATAGTGGAAAATTAGTCAATGAATATACAATCCCAGACTCAATAGTTATATTCAAATTCTTCAATAAATTTTGTTAAAGTATTCTTTGCTTGAGTTGTTTTTATTGGTCATTGTAACCTATTGCTTGAATGTGAAAGATTCCAATATCAATATTTCTTGAAATTTTTGTCTGGAACGAAATCTAAGTTATAAGGATTTTTGAAACCACTCCATATTTCAGTATCAAACAAATTTGCTGTGTTAGCTGGGGGCAGGTTAAGTGAATTATTTTGTTTTGAGTTTATAAAAGAATCTGAAGTTGGAGTGAAATGTTTAAAAAAATTTAAAAAACATTTTCTTTTTAGGTGATTGCAGTTTTGCTGTACAAGTAACCACAGAAAATGCACTGATGAACTGAACAAAGTTAACTGCTCATCACCAGTTTAGGATTGTATTAAAACTTCATTCCATTCTGCTTCCACAAGTGATTTAGAATTGTTACATCCAGTATAGTAGAAATTACTTTATGGATGTAATCAACTAATGTTCTGCTCTGTTGGATTTCTTGAAAAAATAAAAAATGACTGAATAAATTGTGTAAAGGGATGCCAGATGTACTGTGGGTGTACTATTACCCTCACTGCATCTTGGAATTTTTCTTTTTCCCTTTTATCTTGTAATGTTTTTTTTGCATAAATAATTAGTACTTTCTCATAAACCACATATCTGTTTTGTACAAATTTGTTGATTTAATTCTTTACTACCCCAACTATAAGAATTAGAAACGATTTTGTATATTAAACCCAACTGGTAACCATAGGACTTCTATAAATTGTTATTGTTAAAAAAAAAATGTGAGAGCTACAGAATCAATATTACAGGGTATTCTCTATGCAGTGTGTCATTAAGCTCCTTTATTGTATAATTGAGTAGCAGGAGAAATGCCGTACCATTCGATAAATATATAACTGTAAATAAATGATCTGGACATTGCTGACCTGCCTAAAATTTCAATTTTGCTCCTTTGTTTTGCCACCTTCCATTCCTTTTTTTCAGTTATCTTTCAGAATGTGAAAACAATCTGGCAAGCCAATATTACGAGAACCTTCCTGAAATTTTGATCTACTTTAAAAACAAATTGTAACAAAGAACCTAGCTCAGATCAAGTTTGCTCAAGAGATTTTTTTGTAAGTTTGCTTCAGGCTATCGTAATTTCTACAGAAGTAGGTGAATTAGTTCATGAAATTATTTTTTACTTTAACCTGTTGGTATGCAGTTTTACTAATCAGTAAATGACGGATCTATATATTATTCTTGTGAATTTTCTTGTGCTCCTCAAAATGTTGAGCACATGCTATTTGCTAAAGAAAATATTAATATAGAAAGTTAAGTATTCCACTATAGTGGGTCTGAATGTTCATAGAAAGGCTTGTAAACTACAGTAACTTTAATTGGCTGTGTAAGAGTTACATTTATCAAATCATTCAGAATCTTAACATGTCAAGAGTGACAAAAATGGACTTTCTTCTCTGAACTTCATTTAATTCTCAGAATTGACATTAATATCAGCCTTTTTTTTTTTTTTTTTTTTTTAGGTATACCGTACTATAAACCTATAAAACTGTATTAAATATGTATTTAAAATTTACAAGAAAAAATATTTGTAACTAAAAGCAATGTAAAACCACGTATTATACAGTAGCGCAGCGCCGTGTTAAATTACCAATGACATGTTGGTCAGAGACTAGCCTACCGCGCTGCGACAGAGGAACACTACGCGCGTTGCTTTACCATACAGCATCTTTCTGCGAAATGTGACCAAAAAGTGAATATGTATTTGAACTTCCGTATGCATATACCTAAAACGTGAAGTAGAAGCTTTGAACAATGTTTAAGGAGAGAAATTTAAATCTAATGGATGTTGTCCATTGCAAATGAATGGAATCATGAACAGGTGTTTCTTCTATTTTCATGAAAATATCTAGAAATGTAAGGAATCTAATACGTAAATAAGGGGACTACAGAGGTAATAACATTTCCGTTGTGCTTTTGAACAATTTCCTTTCTAGGTCTTTTGGAAAAAATAAAATTTAAAAACAATTGAGTGTTCTTTCCTTTGCCGCATTTAATTGGAGAATATTGTGCGCCTTTCGACACACGCATTGTTATTCATGTGTACACTGGAAAAGTATAAGAATTCAGTTGGTGCATAGCATTAACGCTCCGATACATGCCAAATGTAAGGTTAAAACGTTAGTTCTACGTAATTTTACGTGTTACTACATTCTCCCCTTACGAAGGTACCGTAAAGTGGGGTGAATTGGGGCAAGTCTGAATTCATGCAAAGATATTGAATTGCTTCACATATCGCGCTCCTAAATGAATCAGTTGGTGGTATATAGAAGGCTGTGGAAGTTGCTCAGTCGCGGGAAACAACCAGAAATTGAGGATTGTGCTGTATTTTTGTAGAATTGGCGAATATTACTCCACTCTCTTTGACAGTTCACACGGTATGTACGAAAAACCTCTAGGTTAATCATATCTTCAAGTAGAGTGGTTTTGTGAGGTTATGTTTTGTTGTCGAGTTGTAATACTGAAAATTATCCAAAATTGTTTCTTGTAGGCGTGAATTGGGACATGCCGAGAAATAACAAGGTGCTAGGGCTCACCCAGCGGCAGAAGTATTCACAGGAATCGTTGGAGGAAGCAGTCACCGATGTTTGCAGAGTCACCGATGTTATACCACCAACTGATTCATTTAGGAGCGCGATATGTGAAGCAATTCAATATCTTTGCATGAATTCAGACTTGCCCCAATTCACCCCACTTTACGGTACCTTCGTAAGGGGAGAATGTAGTAACACGTAAAATTACGTAGAACTAACGTTTTAACCTTACATTTGGCATGTATCGGAGCGTTAATGCTATGCACCAACTGAATTCTTATACTTTTCCAGTGTACACATGAATAACAATGCGTGTGTCGAAAGGCGCACAATATTCTCCAATTAAATGCGGCAAAGGAAAGAACACTCAATTGTTTTTAAATTTTATTTTTTCCAAAAGACCTAGAATCCTCAATGCATCAGATGGAAGAGATGTTGTAAACCATTATCTGCATTGTGAAAACGTTTACAGATAATTCTCCAGAGAAAGACTGGCTGTAGAGTTTTCTGGAACGTCATCCATATTTGACGCAAAGGTTGACCCAAAATATAAAGCAAGTTAGGGCTGAAGTTAATGAAGACACTATAAATGAATATTTTGACAATTTGTAAGTTAGCTTGTCAATTTTTTAAAATTTGTTGCATCTTTAATTGACGCAACACGTCTCCAAGCCCCGCGGGGCGCTGAGCGCTTTGTGCTTCCGGAGTAATCCTCCATTAATAATTATTATATTAACATATACGTCACGTCTCGTCGCAGTCAGTTGTCAAGAGGACCGTCAAGAAGCACGCGTACGCGCCTACGCGTCACAACTCAGCAGCTAGAACTGGGAAGGAATTAGGATTGGGGTAAGGATTAGAACACTTCACAGGGGTTGGACTAGCTTCTGTGAAGCATGCAAACTCGGTTTGTCGTAACAAATTTCACATGAAGTTCTACGGAGATTTTATGGGAATCGAACCTCGGTGGTGAAAGGCAACTTCGAGCGACTTCGCCATAGAGCTACGCGAGCATTCGTAATTTCCAATTCACAAGCCACAAGAGCAGTTTGTCCTCCGGAAAACATTGTACATTTTGATGAAACAAGCTTCACTGATGATCCTGGTAGTACACAAGCAATTGTTAGGGAGAGGGTGCCGACGCCCAGAGCGGGTATAAATAGTTCAAAAAATTCAACGAGTTATGATGGCCGCAACAGCAGGTGACTATTTTTTTTGTCTCCGTTCGTTGTATACAAGGCTCAGTTTTTGTGCCCAACGTGGATTGAAGGTGGTTCTTGTGGAGCACGATAAGCTAGCATCAAGTCAGGTTATTTGATATGCACCGTTTTGAGGAGTGTTTTGTGCATATTTGTTTTCCGACCTTATAGGGCAAGCAAGGAATAAGCGGTGCTTTGTGACAATTTGCCCTCCCATATGTAACTTCAGTTTGTGAGCAACATGACATAGCATTTATCTTGTTGTCTCCAAATGCAACACATTTGTGTCAGCCACTTGATGACACGTCAATTCTTCCGTCGCATGAAGAGAGCTTGGAAAAATGTGTTGACAGACTTTAAAAAGAGTCACAGAGGTGTTCTACCAAAATATGAATTCCCTAAAATGTTAAATACAGCCATTGAAGCAAACACTGCTAAAATCATTTTATCTGTTTTCAGATCATGTGGAATAGTACCACTTAACAGAGAGGCGGTATCAACAAACATTGTGAGGAGAGACAGTGAAGACATAATTGGTTCTTTCTGGTCAAAAGCAATCATCGAGAAGCTTCAAGAATCAAGAAATTTTGTTGTGGAAATCATCTGCAAAAAGCCATGGGACGAGGCTGCACGTCTCTCCAGGGACGTCTGTGACAGAAGCTGATCTTTCCAGAGTACGCAAAACTGTGTCGCGGGAGGAACAGGACCCTGTCGCTCCTGAATCTGATGACCCAGACCTTGACTTTGATGCACCAGCAAATCCATCAACCTTCCATTAGAGTATGCAGAGAAATGTGGAAGAGAGGACTTTGATTGAAAGAGCCGATTTTGTTGTGGTTACACTTGTTACAGAAGAGGATGACAAAATTAAATTCTATTTTGGTCAAGTTGTTAGTGTAAATAACGGTCATTTAGAAGTGAAATTTTTGAGGAACAAGGAAGGAAAGATGTATGTTGTAATCCCTGATGTGCCGTACATGTATACATTAGTGATGTAAAATGCAAAATACACATGAAGGAACTAAGAAGGGGAAAGCTTATGTTTTGTCAGTCTCCAAATATCAGTATTAACTAATTGTGTTAAGCAGTCCTAGCTGTGCTTTAATAGGGTCAATATTTTGTAATAAAGTTTACTTTTTCCTTATAACATTTTACATCAATTCATATCCTATCCTACCAAATTGGTTGTATAAGTTTGTTTTCATTTTAAAAAGTTATAATGAGTCCCAATCCACCCCAACATGCACCATTTCTGGACTAATAGCAGCCAAACTATGATGTCCAAAATCACCGCAAGCTATGGGGGAATTGGGACAACATTTTTTACTACAAGAAAGTAACAAAATCTTTAACTTTTTGGTAACTAATAAACTGTGATCATGAATAAAATATCAAAGATGTTAATGATAAATTTTCAAGGAGATTGAAGAAAAAGTTTAGAAGTTCTGTAGAAAATATAAATGTAAAAAAAAATTGTCCCGATTCACCCTACTCTACGGTACGTCGTAATAAGAGAAAGTTATGCAATCGTGAGCGGGAAAATGGAGAATTTTCGGCAGAAAAACTCTGTAAATGAGAGATTTTAAGCTCTTTATCACAGCAAATTTTCGAGTTTTCGAAAAACTTGATTGGAAGTCATTTGAAGCACTTCCACTCACAAATACAATAGCGTTTTCACGAAATTTGCAAATTAACGGCGTGAAACGTTTAAAAAATATACATTTGTGTAATTTTTGTTGAAACAAATTATACAGCAGAATGAATCTTATATCAAAGAGAGCAATTAGCACTACAGGCGTCCCATTTAACTTGACAACTTGAAATAACTCAAAAAATACGCGATGTACGAAAAATTGAGCCGAGACCAAATCTTAACAGTTTTGAAGGGGGAATCATTCTATGCTAAAATCAGCACCCCCTGTCCCCAGCCCCCCCAATGCTAAAACCAGCATTGAAATCATAAATAAGAACCCTCATTTTTTATTTCAGATTCGTATTTTACGGACAAAAATACATAAGTTGTGTCTGAAACATTTTTTCTGATTTGTGATAGGTGGAGCTGCAATCGCAAAGATTTAATTTCCGAAGATTTCCGACCGTAATTGGAGTGGTTTTGAGTATGGCCTCAGGGCACACCCGTCAATTTGTTGGTAGCATCTCTCCATGATCTGGGCCTACAGTACTTCAGAGGCGATCTGATATTTATTAAACATTTACCTTTCTGAACTAACATTCCTCCTTGTTGCATCATGGATTATGTAAATGTGCACGAAAAAATTGAAATGATTTTCATTTACGGCGAAGCTGGGAGAAATTTCGACGCTACTGTTAATTTGTATGCTCAACGTTTTCCTGACAGAGTACGATCGCGTTCTTCTTTCGTTAGAATTATTCAACAATTCTCTACTGACGGAAGTGTATAGCCGAAGAAAAGAACACGTAGAGTTTCTGCTACTGAAGCAAACAAAAAATTAGTACTGGCTGCAGTAGCTCATAATCCACATGCGAGTTTTAGAGAAATGTCTCAACAATCAGGGATTCCTCGTAAGAGTGTTTGGAGGATACTGAAGATACATAAGTTTCATCCGTATCATGTATCCTTGCATCAGGAATTAACTGACAATGACTTTCAAAACCGATTACAGTTTTGTCAATAGGCAGTTCAGAGAATACAAACCGCCATAATGCATTTTTAGAGTTTAGAAAGCCCACACTGGATTCGTCAAGTAAATCATCAGCGACCTTGGTCGGTTAACGTTTGGTGTGGAATAATTAGTGATAAACTAATCGGATCATACTTTATTGACGGTAATCTAAATGGTGACAAGTACCGAAACCTTGATAAAAAAAACTGCTGAGAATGCTCGAAGACGTAAGTTTGGAAGTGCGACAAAACATGTGGTTTCAACATGATGGTTGCCCAGCACATTACTCATTAGTAGTACGCGAGGTATTGGATCGGAATTACAATAATCGTTGGATCGGTAGAGAAGGACCAGTGCACTGCCCAGCCAGATCACCAGATTTCTTTTTGTGGGGTTACATAAAAGATGTCGTTTATAAAAAACACCTATTACTCGTGAAAACATGATGCAACGAATAAGGGACGCTTGTGCCGCGATTACAGCAGATATGCTATGCAATGTGTTCGTTCATTTGTAGGACGAATCAATAAATGCATTGAGGTTCAGGGCTATCATTTTGAGAACTTACTTTAAATAAATGCCGAGGTATTTGTAGAATCATCTAAAACAACACTCCGATAATGAGAGGCAAGGGGACTCACTGAAAACAAGCACACCAAAAGTGAGAGGGAAGGGGACTCACAAGCACAAAACAAGCACCCCGAAGGGAACTACTACGTCCATGTCGTTGTTCCTGGGTTACGCTAAATGTAGTTTATTAACTTCTGTAGAAAATACTGATTTTTATTAAATACTCAGAAATAATTAACCACGCTCAAAACCACTCAAATTACAGTCGGAAATCTTCGGAAATTAAACTTTTTCGATTATAACGCCACCTACCATAAATCAGAAAAAGTTTCAGACAAAACTTATGTATTTTTGTGCGTAGAATCCGAATCTGAAATAAAAAATGGGGGTTACTATTAAAGATTTCAATGTTGCCTACCGCCCTACCCGCTGGGGGCAGGGGGGTACTGATATTAAAATAGAATGATTCCCCCTTCAAAACTGTTAAGATTTGGTCTCGGCTCAATTTTTCGAACATCGCGTATTTTTTTAGTTATTTCAAGTTGCCAAGTTAAATGGGACATCCTGTATATTTTCTTCAAGCAAATAATAAGTAACGTGAAAAAGTACACCTTGACATAATGATACACTGACAAACTGCATATGACAATATTCACACGATGAAATATGAAAAGATTCATTCAATACGGGATTCAAACCCCATTAACTCAATTGCACTCATGGTAGCTTTCAAAATTACAACATATTATTATTTTTGAATAAAGATGCCTACATTTAGAATATCCACATGGAAATAAAATTACAGATACCCTATTCATAATTCAGATGGTAGGTTAATGGTACGTTAATACTAGATAGGTGCTTCACAGTTCAACGGTGTGATTAAAGTCAAATAGTTTTTCGTAAATTTGCACGTAAGAGAGGAAATAGCCAATAATGCTATTAACTACTGACATAATTGCTTCCGGTGAATACCTATTTATATGTTATTGCTCTCTTACTAGAAACGATACAGTTCTTTTTTATTTAATTTTTAAATACATATTTCTTCTTTTTCGGTAGTAATTCTACCACTTTGGCCTTAACCAATAAATTCACTACACTCTTTACAGACTTTCACTGATACTTTGTCTATTTTTATGAAGCCTTTACTATGTATCAAATGAAATATTTTCGATGATTTCAGGTAGTTAAAACTATGCCGGTAGCAATTTATGAACCTTCGGAAATACATTACGTTTTATTCAACCATTTTTTCTGCGTCTTTCTCGATGACACTCAAAAAGTAGACTGAAAAGTGCGTTTCTTTCGAAAATCAGAAACATAGCGCAAGCGCTATCAAGCGCAACATTCGGTCGTTGGATTGCGCAGCGCGCTATCAACAACAATCCTCGCTGGCCTTAAGCGCGAGAGCACACCGCGCGCGAGCAGCCTGCTAGATTCATCGATCAACCGATATCAATGACGTTCTGTTTTCCTAATTATAATTTTCGGTTGTGATAATGTCGCCAGCGTGCTGTTCTTATCGTTATCGCTTGAGGTGCTCGAGTGATTAAAGTCTTCCGCTCATTAGTGCTGTACGTGTAAACTGTGTGGTGCAATGCGCGTGCGCTGTTTTAAAAGCAGCGACCGAATCTTGCATGTCGCTCGCGCGCGCTGAGCTCTCGCGCCCAAGGCCAGCGACCGGATGTTGTGGTTGATAGCGCTCGGGCGCTACGCGCTCCAGCGACCGGATGTTGTGATTGATAGCTCTTGCGAGCGCTGCGTTCGCTACTCCCGGCGCTAATGATGCGGTTGATTAATTTTCACGAGTAAACCGTCGCCCCGCCTTTCAGTCTGCTTTTCGCTTGCACTGAAGTAGGTTACGTTAAGAGAAGTCATTAGTAGTAGTTTAGGTGAAGTCGAATTGTAGAAGTAGTAATGGCTGTTCGTAAACATGGTATGCATTACAGACGATTCGCTGATACCAACGAAGCGAGGTATTTGCCTGTGGATTTTTTCGGCCGCAGCGTAATCCATTACGCTGCGGCCTTCAATGACATTGAAGGTTTGATTTTCTGTCTAAATCGCGGTGATCTAGTGGACAGGCAAGACTTATGTAATCGAACGCCGCTGCATTACGCGTAAAGGTCTAGGGCGAGTACGGCTTTTAATTTTTTGTGTTTCGTTGGCGCAAATCGTGAAGCTGTGGACGATCTCGGTTATGTGCCACAAGATTTATATTTTGTTGAAAATATTTTTTGCAACTGTGAGCCGAATTGTGAATTCTGACGAAGAGTACCGAGGCACTGCGTCGTGAATGTTCCGTTAAATGTCTATTTAAGATATGCGTTCAGTTCTGGACCAAACATGTGTCAAAATTGGGTGGAGGAGAGGCCGCCGCCGCCACCAGCGCCGCCCCACGCATCTGCACCACCATCAGCACCATTGTTGGTGGTTGTAAATGGCGGAGCAAAGAGTCCGCCACCAGCACCATCCAGCTCCGACGCGGAGCACAGAGTCCGCCACCGCTGTCGCCCCAGGCATCGACACCACCACCACCACCAGCACCTTTGTTGGTGGAC